TATAAGATTAATAGCTATCCTTGTCATAGGAGGAGATTTTCCTTATTGTCGTCTATGTGGCACAATCCCTATCATCCTCATAAAATAGGCACAAATCCCCACCAACTCACACACTCTCTCCTATTTTATAAGGATGGTGAGGATTGTGCTACATAGGCGTCAAGGAGGAAATCCCCTCCTATGACAATGATACCCATTAATCTCTATTAATGGGTATCCTTGTCATAGGAGGAGATTTCTCTCTTTATCGCCTATGTGGCACAATCCTCATCATCCTCATAAAACAGGCACAAATCCCCACCAACTCACACATTCTCTCCTACTTTATGAGGATGGTGTGGATTGTGCTACATAGGCGTCGAGGAGGAAATCCCCTCCTATAACAAGAATACCCATTAATCTCTATATGAATATTATACTAGTGCAATCACTAGCTTTAAAATATATTACGAACCACATAATGCATTGTTCGTTTTCTTAATTTCTATAATTTTCTATAGGGGGCTCACTATAGGATTTTTTTTCCCACTAAAGGAAGAGTGCAACTCTTCGAGTCTAATTTCGTGGGACAAAATAAGTAAACAAAATAAAATGCCAATTCCTTTCTTCTATAGACCTACCTCTTGCCTAATAATAGGGAGCATAAAAAGAGAAGAAGAATCTTACTTAGGAGAGTTTTATCATCCTTCGTAGTCTTTAGGGGTATTGCATGCTTTGCGAGCCTTCAAAATTGATATGCATGAGTCGTTCATTTTGTTCTTCAAAGATATTCTGTCCTTTTTAGAGGACAAATAGAACAAATCTTCCTCCTTATCCTTTTTTTAGGGTTGTAAAGTAGTTATATAGCTCATTCATGGTCATTGTCACTGTCATGATCAGTTTCATCTATATCCCTTTGAGAAATGGTGCTTATGAAGAAATCAAGCCCATATATTGTAAAATAGTAAGTTGATATAATTCAGGAAAGATAAGGTATTCATGTTGAGCACCGTAAACTGCTTGTTTGAAAGTCCAATAATACCAAAAAATTAATTTGAAGATTTGAAAAGCCTACGCATATTCTTTGTCTAATCTTTGATATATTTATATGCGTCAACATGAATATGAAGAAAGCATTTTGTATAAAAACTTCTGATGCTTTAATACCAATTTATGAAGAATCCTGTCGCTTTAAGCAAGGAATTATTGCGAGAAAATCATTTCAACAACAACTACCTTGTTATTTATTTCATTCCAAAAGAAACTACGTACAAGCTCTTTAGTCTTTAGTTTTTTCAAGAATATTGAAAAAGATTGGAGTAGAAAAGTGGTCTATTTGGAATCCACTCAAAAAGAAACACACAAAAAAAAGGAGAAGAAGAAGAAGAAAAGGAACGCATCAAGCAGAAGACAACAGGTATTGAATGACCAAGAGTCTATCTGTACCATTTCTTCCTTCAAATTTGGATCAATAAATCAATCATAAATGATAAGAAAAACTTTAAGCCATCCACAGTAATTTGTTCCTTAATGAGAGCATCGTATAAATCTAATAAAGTTCAAGAAGTTATTGATGCACAAGAACCTGAAATTAAAGTTTTTTTTTTTTCCTTCGTGACCCCATCGATGCAAATGTTTATGAATCAAAATCTGAAGAGACCTTACAAGACTCAACCACAATTAACTTTCTCCCAACTCCACCATTCCGGGAAAAGAATCCTACAGACGGCTCTCTATAGAAAACCATATAGGGGATATATCCGCCTTAGCATGAATTTTGATGTACATATTACTAATAACTACCGATACCGTCAGACTGCCTATCAGTGTGCCTAGAAAATCTGACATCAGACATCAGTTCCCACTACCTCAACGGTTTCCACCTGTGCTTCCATGAAAAAGGCCTTCACATGTTTCACTACAATCACTAGAAAATCTCACCACGGTTAATATTGGTTGAGAGCTGCTCGCATGTGATAAAGACCCACACTTAAAGTTGCTTTGGCTTTTCAATACTATCTTACAAAGCCTTAGGATTCATGTACAATCCTCCTCTCCCCAAAAAAACCTACCCCAAAAGAGAACTATAAAACTAACTTTAGTTGTGAAACACCCATTTCCTATCTCCCCTACACTTTTCATGTCATCAAAGCTTGAGACCAAGCAAGTCATCAAAGGCATGATTTTTGATAGTGGCCCTAGATGCCCACTAGTGAAAAGAAAATAATAATAGTAATAATAATAAGAGCAAAAGGGGTTTTGCTTTGTTAGGCTTCTCACTACCTCTACCATATACCTTTCGTTTCTGCCACAATTTTCAAGTAGTGGAGAATCAAAGTATAGACAACTAAGACAAGCCGTTGTACATGTACTCTTTGAATCAATGGATGAGAATGAAGAAACAATAGCATGTGGAAAGAAGCATGAGCAAACGTTTCAATGGGGGGACCAGGGTGGGTATATGGAACCCCATGCATGTGTGCATCTTCTATGGACAAACAAGAATTGCTCGTAAATCTGAAGTTAAAAAAAAAAGGAAATTGGGGCCTTCTTAATACTGTTGAAGGAGAGTACAGCTCATGAGTTGTGAATCGTTAAGGATTACACACTGTGATACTAGTGGGCTATTTAATTTGTTGCAACTGCACTAGCATGCGGCAACAGGGTCTGTGCTGCAATTTCAATTGCAATCAAACCTCAATTGATGAGGGAGGAAAAAACTAAAACAAACGCCTCCAGAGCAGTTACATGCAACATTAGTTTACAACAACTACAGTTACCGATACTTGCATTGTAATACAATTACAGTGAACCAAACATCATCTAAGGAAAAACATGGTTGCATATGGAACCATATACATGCTTCTTCTACTAGACAAACAACATTTGGTCACAAATCTCTGAAGGTTTTTAAAGAGGAAATTAGGGCATTTGTCCAATATTATTAAAAGTATTGAAGAAGGAGAGTGCAAGTGATAATGATTGGGTGAGGCATTACATTATGAACAAGTCATTAATGCAGTAATTAGAAAATATCTGAACAAGGTACAAAATTAATGCCATCTCTCCCTAAAACTCTCCCCTAATAAGGGAGAAAATTCATCTGAACATGATAGCTCACATTGAACTTTATTCCTTCATCTAAAGAGTGATCAGTATCAATGGTATTAATTCCTCTTTGATTACTAGCTAGAATGTTGTGGGCATTGTCTTTTATTCAATGGGGAAAGAGCTTTCAAACATTATGTTCTTAAAGGACTTGGAAGGGCCAGAAATATCAAAATACTTGCATTATTGTCCAGTGTCCCAATTGACTTTTTAGTTCATGTGGCTTGTCTCTCCATAGCCTTTGCACATAAAAAAATATGAGCCACGCATGATGTAGTAAAACTGCAAACAATATAAGTACTAAATCAATTTGAAATGTATTCAAAGCCAATAATGTGCGAAGTCAACTCCTTCATCTCCATTATTGCTTAGAACATCAGCATGATGGAACAAACTGATGTAATATAAATGTTGACCAATCAATCATCCCCTATAAGCTATAGTTGTGTTCTTTCATCACCCAAGTGTGCCACACAAATAAATTGAAGGGCCAAGGAAAAATTACCTACTAACCAATTCCTAATTGTTTAAATTGAGATAAAAAAAATATGGTCGTTGGTATAGCCTGCTAAAAAAAGGTAAACCAGTGCACGAAACTCGCACTATGTGCTCATCCGGAGAAGGATAAACCACTTTTGGCACTTGTGCAACAATATGTCAAATGAACAATAGATAACCATAAAGGAATGAAGAAAATGTTTATATTTTTGTTTGTCCTCTATTTATTCAAAAGTTTTTTGGATAAAATAATTAGACTTTTTCCAAATAGTTGCTCATATTATAGTTTAATTTCATTTTCATTCCATGGAAAAGGTGGCTAATTTATACGAAGTGTTATAAGAAAAAAAGTATATATCATCATTTCACACAACAAAAAAGGTTCTAAGAAGATATTTCGCAAGCGTGTTAAGGTAATATACACTTGTTTTAGTGTTTCTTTTATTTTTTATGCTGGTCCTTTTGTTTTACCGTTTCGGTGGCTTCATATACAGAGGTGTTTGTTTGGGCTTCAATTTGTTTATTCTTTTTCTGTTTCTTTTATAAGTTGGGCTACCTCAAAGTGAGTTGGGCCTTTACTTTTTCCATTATTTTCAGCTCATAAAATGGGCTACATTGTTTTTTCTCTCTCTCTTTTCTGAGTTAGCCCATCAAGAATAGGTATATTCTTTTATTATTATTATTTTCTTTTAAGGGCTACCTTTCTTCCAAATGTTATTAGTTGTAGGTTGAGTGACACAACTTGAGTCCAATGGACTTGGCTTTTCTTCTCATTTCCTTTTTTTTTAGTGTATTCTCGCCCTTTTCTACAAGGGTTCAATTTATTTTAATTATTTGATGATTTTTTTTTGTTATTTTATACATTTACTATTGTCATGGGCCTAATTTCTTTAGTCAATTTTTTAATTATTTGCTTGTTTCTTATGTCCTTTTTGTGCATTATTTTTTAATTACTTATAATAATAAAAAGAACATTGGTTATGATTTAACTTTTCGTTTGGATGACTTAATACATGAGCAAATTTTTATGTTGTTCCTTTACCTTAGAACTTTTACCCTATACACAGGTGCGGATCCAGGATTTCAGTTTTGGGGGGCCGCATACAAAAGATAGACGAAAAATTCAAAGTTAGATAAAGTATTATTTCAGTTATGTAAAGGTCAACTATGACGAAAGGACATAAGAAACAATTATGTAAAGGTCAACTATGCTAACGGATAGAGTGCCGCCGGTGGTGAAAATTAAGAATGGGCCAATTCTGCTTTTCCCCCCCTCCTTTTGTGGGCTACCTGCCCTCCAAATGAGAGTTTTGCAGGTTGAATCCAATGAAATTGGCGCTTCTTCTCATTTATTCTATATTTAATTAATTTCCCCCCTTATCTGTGGAGGTCCAATTTTTATTGATTCGTTTTAATTAGTTGATGAGTTTTAATTTTTTTACAGCCCAAGTTGTTGTTTTTTCTTAATAAAGTTAATAGACTTTGTTCAAACAGAGAGAAATACCAAACAATAAATAGGCTCAATCTCCAAACCAACATTCAAACGCGCCTGACCTAAGTCAAGAAACAATATTTGGCTAAATTTTTTTTTTTTTTTGGTGGGGGGAACAATATTTTATTAGAAGATTAAGTAACTAAAGATAATTACAGAAACATACCTTTTGATTGAGAAATCCCGATTCTATTCTAGGGTTCGATCGCGACGCCCACGGCTCCAATTTCTAGGGTTTCCAGCTTCGCAAATTTGTACTTCCAGCGACAGAGATGAGAGATATTGAGGAGATCCTTCAGGATTTCTCAAAGATCTGGCCAATTTTTTAGGGTTTAGGGCTCAGGAGGAGATGATTTTGGGGAGACTGTGAAAACATCGGGGGAGGCGGTAAATTTTTTGAGAACTAACTCCTGAACGCACGTGAGGTGTGAGAATTTATTAGTTGGGTTATTTTTGTAATCTGTGCTTCTCTTAGGGCTGTTTGTTTGCCTAAAAAAAATTTCAAAGAATAGGAAACTTATTTCTAAGAAAAAATATTTTAAGATTGTTTGGTTGGCTAAAAAAAGAAAGAAATCAAAGAATGTGAGATGAGTTGTCACATTATTATTGGATGATGTGTGTGATTTTTTAAGAAAATTTGTTTTAAGGTTGTTTGGTTGGCTAAAAAATGGAAATAAATTATAAGAAACTTATTTCCTGTAATAAGTTCTTTTCTTGTGTTTGGTTCATTCATAAAAATAAAAAAATAGATGAGATGAGATGAGTTGTCATTATATTATTAGATGATGTGACTCACACTTAAGGAATTCGATTTCTTAGCTTTTTTGGAGGAAATGGGTGGAAATAAAATGTTAATGAGATGAGATGAGTTGTCACCATATTATTGGATGATGTGAGTGATTTTTAAAGATGTGATATGATGGAGATGAGATGAGTTGGATGATGTGATTCATTTCTTGTGTTTGGTTTATTTTTAGGAGATGATATGAGATTAGTTGTAGGATGAAAATAATATCTTATTGGATGTTGTGGTGAGTTAAAAAATAGAAGTAGATGAAAATAATTTTTTATTGATTTTCATGTACCTTTTTTTCCTTTTCTTAATTTTTAGGAAACCAACCAAACAACCCCTTAATTCGACCTCAGGATAAAGGCGTAGAGAGTACCTTTTAGGTCAAAACATGTGAACTCGAGGTACCAAAGCGTAATTAAACTTCCTTCAAAATCATTGTTATTAAGTAACTTATTATTGACATTTCTTAATTTTTTTTAAAGAAACAAGCAGAATTGATCCGCACGACGTCGCGGCATTAGCTGTAAGCATCAGTTAAAAATGCATCACTCATCTAACCTCTTGGAAAAAATATAGCATGTTACAACAAATATAGCAACATGCACCTAGGGGTGTCCAAAAAGCCCGGAGCCCGGGCCCGGCCCGGTCGTGCCCGGGCCCGGGCCCGGCCCGGGCCCGGGTCGCCTATATATTGTGTATATAATATCAATATATTATACTCTCTCTAGGTATTATAATTATATTATAAGTATACTCTCTCTTATATAAGGTATATAATATGTATAAATATGCTCTCGTTAATATATAGTATAATCTATATATAAGTAATAAAATGCTATACTCTCTCTTATATATGTTATATATGTATAATTATATATTACTAACTATATAATATATTATATATATATATATATATATATACTATAATATATATAGATATATATATATATAGTATATATACTATATCATATATAGATATATACCCACTTCTCTCTCTCTTAGTATATAAGATATATATAAGTATGATTCTCTGTATATATATATATATATAATATGTTATAAGATATATAGTATAAGTATACTAGTACTATAAGTAATCCATAAGTATATTCTCTCTTGATATTACATATATAATATATGCTATAAGTAGTATATATAAGCTAACAGTGTATACTCTCTATATAAGTATATAATCAGCTACTACTCTCTCTTATTACTTTATATTCTCTTATATATATATATATATAGGTATATACTATATATCATAATATATATATATATATAATATACTATATAGAGAATATACGAGAGACCCGAGGAGGAGAGAGACGAGAGAGAGCCCGAGAAAATGGGTATACTTCGGTACAAGCACAAAGTTTCTATGCTTGGTAGTGATGTTCACATTCCTCATCCACTCGACTACCCGATGTGAATGTGGTCCCATATCTGGAATGAGTGGAGGGGGATGTGACACATTCACTACCAAAGCATAACTTTTTATGCTTGGTAGCCAAGATACCCATACATTGCCTCATTACTGATATATATATATAAGTATAATGTATAAGTATACTCTCTCTTATATATGTATAATATATGTATAAGTATATATAAGTATACTCTCTCTTATATATGTATAATATATGTGTGTATATATAAGTTTATATGTGTGTGTGTTTTTATGTATAATACAATTTGTTTATGTAATTACTATAAGTATTTACAATTTGTTTATGTATAATATATGTATATGTGTGTCAGTGTGTGTGTATATATATACATATACATATATTGAATGACATGAATACTTTGGGCTACTTAGTATATAAGTATATATAAATATAAGTATATTCTCTCTTATATATGTTTATATCTCTTATATAATTATATATATGTATAAGTATGCTCTCTCTTATATATGTGTACAGTGTATACTCTCTCTTATATATATATTTATATTCTCTCTCTCTTAGTATATAAGTATACTTATATATACACATATATAAACATAAACTTATATGTACATATATAAGTATATTTATATAATAGTATAAATACATATAAGAGTATAAATATATATTTATATATCTATACATATATATAAACATAAACTTATATGTACATATAATATAATTATATTTATATAAGAGTATAAATATATATATACTATTATATAAATATATATATACTATTATATATATACTATTATAATAATTATATTTATATAAGAGTATAAATATATATATACTATTATATAAATATAATTTTTATGTTTTATTGTTTTTTAAAATTTTTAAAAAAATAAAAAAATAAAAAAACATAAAAATCCGGGCCGGCCCGGTGTCCGGCCCGGTCGGGCCCGGGCCCGGGCCCGGACCCGGCCCGGACCACCCGGGCCCGGGGCCGGGCTTGGGTTTTGCCCGGCCCGGGCCCGGTTTTCCGGGCCGGGCCGGGCCGGGCCGGCCCGGATGGACAGCCCTACATGCACCGCATGTCAAAGTGTTCATATGCGAAGTGAGTTAAAATTTAGTTTGACTAAATATTTTAGGTTTAAGAGTAACTTTGAAAGTGAATGGATTTAAAGTTAAATGGGGGCTAAAAGTTGGTTTATTGACAAATAATTCTATTGGAAGTGAATGAGTTCACAAATAAATGAGGATAAAAGTTTGGGTTTATAAAAAAAATCCAATTACAATTTGTGGTGACGCGATATTAGTATGTAAACAACCAGCAAAGAATAGCTTAAACATTTTGCTTAAAATAAACCATATACCTAGGCACTTAGAACAAAATATATAGCAAGTTATAATAATATAGTGACTGATACCATGTATAATAGTTTTGAAATACAAAGTAGGTTCAAAATTAATTTTATGAATAGTTTTAAGTGTAATAGTGATTTTCGAAGTGGGTGAGTGTTAAAATAAATGGGGGGTAAAACTCTGGATCCATAGACAAATTACGTTTTTCCAGAAGTGGGTGTGTTTAAACCTAAATAGGGATAAAACCTTGCTTACAAGCAAAAACCTTCTGAATGTGGGTGGGATTAAAAAAATAAATTGGAGCAGAACTTGGGGTTTAGAGATAATAACCCAGTCAAATTCTGGGTGGTTGGATTCAAAAATGAATGTCGCAAAACTTTGGGCTTATAGGCAAAGAAATCAACTTTGGAAGTTGGGTGAAAAAGTAAATTGTGGTAAAACTTTGGGTTATGGCAAAAAAAAAAGGTTTTAATGGTGATTAGTACTCCTTACTTCCCTAAATCACTCGACAAAAGTTCTACTTACACCAATTTGTAGAATGACCATATTTCGTAGAATTATCATACATTTTATATATTGTAGTTAACTAGACTGCACGTAAAAAACTGCTCATCCCAGTTAACTTTGAGTATATCATACTCCTTTTAAAAGCACGAGTTCTGAAAAAAATTGATAGACAAAAATACTCTTGAAATTCAAATATCAATCCATTAAGTAAAAGTGAGTTGATAAATTAATGAATTCTTATTGGATATACATAGTATGAAGATAAGGATATAGTTTAAATTAAAATGTAAATCTGAATGAAGTTATTAAATGCTAAATTTACAAATGTATACAAGATGAAGGTGGTATATACATAAACCAAACAAATTAGTGAGACAAATAATGTTCGTCCAGATGTCGAACCCAGGAACAACGCAGACCTACAAATGTACATAATGTGGATGTGATATTTGCAAAATACACCAAACAAATTAAAGAGACAAATCGTTCTCAAAATTATAAAAAAGGAAAATTAAAACAAACGGCTACGATATGAGGACACAACGTGGCAACCTTTCACCAACTAAAATTCAAGTAGTTCACGGTACTGCATAATTAGTTTTAAAGTTTAATTATACTATTATTATTTAAATAGAACTATATTTATAATTGTTATCCTCTCACATGCAATATTACATACCAATGTATATAAGCTAAGAAATTACAACAATTTTCATAGCACTTTCATCTCCTTCTACATATATATGCCTTTGTTATTTTTTTCTTATTATATTAGATTAGATTATCTTAAAATAATTAATTATATTGTATATTTGATCTTTTTTTTGTATCAATAAATATCAACAATTTTCACAGCACTTTCATCTATTTTCTTCTTAGTAGATTAGATTAGATTATTTAAAAGTAATTAATTATATTATGTGTTTGATCTTCTTTTAAAATTAAAACTTGTAATAATTTTTATAGTACTTTCATCTCTTTCAACAAATATGTGCATTTGTTATTTTCTTCTTATTAGATTAGATTAGATTGTTTAAAAATTATAAATTATAAAATTATAATAATTTTCATATTATTTCCATCTATTTTCTTCTTATTAGATTAGATTATTTTAAAGCAATTACTTATATTGTATGTTTGATTTTTTTTCAAATCACAAAGTTTAATTATACTATTATTATTTAGATAGATACTGTTTGTATAAAAATTAAAGAGAATCTCACACATATTTTAGATTTCAATGCCAATTATAATATTTACACATGAGTGTTGGTTAAAATAAATTTCATGTATGAGCTTAACTTATATGATTATACTTTAACCAGATT